ATCAGACAGAGCCATCTCCTGTGAAAAATAAGGCAGGTGGTTGCCCGCCACTTGATGTCCTCCAATAAAAACAAATCTGGACATTAAATTCTATTTCAAGACACAAGTACTGGACAACACCAGCAATCATTATGTTAGATTGCACAGGGAAGCCATTGAAATCCACAAAAACCAGCAGAGCTTCAACAAAAAGAAGAAAATCTAAAACTCAACAAAGCCTCGCTCCCAGCACTGAAAAACACAGCCTGCAAAAGATCAACGAACTCCACCCAGCCACAAGGACCAGTGATCACTGCACACAAAAGACCAGCTAATGACACCCATCAATCACAGTGACAGATAATCTCTCCCCCTTATCACAACAATACACCTACAACAAAAAACAAGCTGATCACCATAATCACCCAATCTCCTGAAAAGGACAAAAAGCTGATCCCACAGCTATAAACACTCAACTATCCCACAAAACTGCACCAGAGCACAGACTCCTCTCCTCTGAAGATGCCAGCCACAGAGACTGGTGAAACGTTAGGAAGAAAAACCTCAAGAACACGGCCAGACAGCCCGAAAAACCTACAACAACAACAACAAAAACAAAGATTGTTTATATGTACTTAGATACTACTTTTTAAGACTAGTTTTAATCCCTGCTCAGCCTGATTGGCTATGAAGCAATAAAGTTTTCATTTGTAAGAGCAAAGGACACCCAACAAAGGGGAATGAGAACATGAAAGCAAGGCATAGACCAGCCACAGCAGTAGCTAATCAGAGGTTTACAGGAGCCCAAACTGCTCTTCCTGGCATTCCAGGTCACTGCAACCCCAGAGGTTTCACTATTTCTCAAGACACCCAGTTCAGGGCTTTGAAAACTGACAGCTCAGTATCCTGCATGTTTACTTGGAACGAAGCCCCACCACATTCAGTGGGGCTTAGTCACAAAGAGGTCACAAAGAGGTGCGCACAAGACAGCACTAGCTTCGGTTTTGATTCCTCTTCTCTCTTCCGTTCCTAGCCACAAAGTCCAAGTTGCTTCAAGCCACCAGTTTTGTCATCCTTCCTGGTTTGGACCACAAGAGCCCTTTTGAGCTGGCTAGAATGGCACGTGAGAATTTTCTTCAGAAGTAGGTTGTGGATGGGAAAACGTTCTCCTTCTCACGGGGCTTTCCCCCCCCGAAAGACTTTCATGGATGGACCCACTATTTTAAAAAAGGAAGAGTGGTTCAGCTTTCTTAAGTCAGAGCTTGGAAGAGTTACATTTTTTGAGCTGCAACATGTAAAAAAAGTAATTTTTCTCAATCCTAGCTGTTTTGTTCAGCAGCCTACTCCTGTAGCATCTGGTAAATCAGAGGTTGATTACCTTGAAACCTAGACATTACATTACATTACAAGCTGCTTTGGGGCTCAGTTTCAGAGAGAAGATACCAATCAAATGCAATCAAAACAATAAATAATGCTTTCTATCATCAAGACCAGCCTCAGTTTCATACAGAAGATACCAATCAAATGCAATCAAAACAATAAATAATGCTTTCTATCATCAAGAGCCACTGACTTCCTTTCTTCCTTCTGTTCATCCACCTTGGAATCTACACATATATTATACCCCAAAGGATAAAGAAAAATCAGCTCAGTTGTCGGAGCTTGGGATAGTTCATTTTTCTGAGCTATAGCATCAAGTGGATGCCCTGGCTGGAAGATTCTCAGAGTTGCAGTCTTAAAAAGTGTATGTTTTGAGCACCATCCATTTATTACCCACGTGTTTTTCAATGTCTGTTTTGCAACAATGAGTTTAAAACCCCCAAACAGAAAGAAACAAAATTCAGTGGTGCCTCACTAGACGATTGCCTTGTGGGACAAAAAACCTGCAAGATGATTGTTTTTTGCGATCACTATGGTGCCTCGCAAGACTTTTTTTCTATGACAAGACGGGGGGTTTTTTTAGACCGATGCTTCATAAAACTTTTTTTTTGAGACCGATGCTTTGGAAGACTTTTTTTTTTGAGACCGATGCATACGGAACCTCGCAAGACGATTTTTTCACAAGATGACGATTTTCGCGGAACAAATTAAAATTGTCTTGCGAGGCACCACTGTACATCACCATTAAATCATCCTAGAAATATCAGAAATGAGCAATATTCTGTGTTCAAAATGTTCCACCAACACCTGCCAAGAGAGCAACAAACAGAGATCGCATTCCAGTGGAAGAGACGTTGTTCCGACTTGGCTGAAATCCCTGAACCTACCACATGAATACTTTGGCCTTAGCAAGGATTTTCCAAACAAGTTGCATGTCCGGCTGCTGTCCTACTGTCTTCTCACCATGGCGTGAGGATATTCCTAGTCTTTCGAATGCGATGCCAGGAGACCCAAAGATCTGGGAGGTTCTACCATGCAGGAAAGGCTCCGAATAAGGCCTGGGCAGTGGGCTGCCCACACCTCGTGTCGCAGGGCCAGCCGAGTGGAGGGGCTCAGCGCCTAGTGCTAAATCAGCTGCAATAACTAAAAGCACAATGGAGGTTTAGAGTAGTTGTGATTTTGCATCAGTAGAGCAACTGCTCACGCTGTGAATATCATGAACCTTAAAGACGTGCATGGGAAATGCACAACCCAGCTTTTAAAAAAGAAATCTGGAAGTATATAAAAGGAGTTCTGAGGCAGCTTCCCTGAGCCTTGCCTAGCTTCTGAGAGATGCCCGAACTATATAGGTTCAGAAGCCGGGGGACATTTGGCGATTGCTGGATCCCAGCTATGATGGAAGGATGTAGCTGCCGACTCATACAAGGCGGACTCTGCAGGTGCTTTCACAGATCTGATTACTTAGAAAGCCAGACATGGAGTCCTGGTGCCGCTTTAATGGCACCTCATTAATTAGAAGGCTGTCTGGCAAACACATAGACCGTCAACCCTGAGGTCAAAGGGCAGGGCCACCTGTTCACAGGCAGGGTCCAACCCTGCTGCCATTCACACCTGCTTCATTCATGAATACAGTATGTCATTTTCTGCCATCACGGCTGTGTAATAAATAAGGAGCTGCCTCGGCCTGTCTTAATCAGCATGGATGTCTTTAATACGGTTCGGCAGAGGAACGGAAGGGGCACCGCGGGTAGATTTTGTTATCGCCTTGGCTCACCATCTCAATGAGACAAGCAAAAACCTCCGTCAATATTTATAAGAGCTCAATCTGCCGAGCCCCCACCAGCCCTCTGCAAGGTCAATTTGCAGACTATTTGCATGCGGCCCGGATTGTTTGCAAACATGACATTCTCTCACCCTTGAGCTTGGCCTCTGGCTTTGCGCAGGGCCTATAAAAACCCCTCTTCCTCCTCTCCTCCTGACAAACACCCGCCGCCAGCAGTGGTGGCAACCGGGCTCCAAACGTTTCAGGGTCAAACCAAGAGATGATGTTGGACGAGATGGAGGAGCAGCTCTCGGGACACGGAGAAACAAAACACGGCACGCAGGAACACTGGAAACTACCTTGCAGTAGCTCCTATTTACCTCATACTGACCTCAGTATGGCAAACAGCATCTCTCCAAGGGTATCGGGAAGGGAGGAGATTTGCTGCTCCCTCACAATTTTCACTGGAGAGGCCAAGCTCACTTGAGAACTTCTCCTTCCACAGCCCCTGACAATTCATAGCACTGGTTTTTTTTTAAAAAAGGAACTCAGCTTGCACTCCAGCCAGACACAGCTTCTCTGAGGTGAACTTAAACACCTGAAGAACCTCTGATTCTGAATTTTGAGTTCCTGCAGTGGTTCGGGGAAGAGGCAGCATTCAACGTTTTTCCCTCCCAGGCTGTTTTCGTAATCAAAATTTCCCTGCCCTCGACGCCAGCTTTTGCTTTTGAGGCTGTGGTCCTCCCGGCCATTGGAATCAATTCCTGTTCAGACTTTTTTAAGGTTCAAGTCACATGATAGTTAAACCGGAGGCTGCGTTCACATGCACTGAATGGAAGGATATATTTCTGGTGATTTAATCCGGCTTCAGCATATCAACGCCACTGGAAACGATTCATTTCCACAAAACCACATTGAATCGAATTGATTTTAGAAGGAAAGTGTTTTGAAAAGCCCCTGCCAGCCAGCTGGAAAAAAAAAACACAACCTCATTTTGCAGCCCATATAAATAAATTTCACCTTTGCATTGTGTGAATGATCACCTCTAAATCGATTTGGATGATGCGTAAATAGTTCTTATGGCCAGGGTGGCCTCAGCCCGAGTCTCCAACCTCTCCCCACCTTGCACTCCACAAAAACAGCCGGATGTCCTGCATCACACTTTTTTCGACCCGAAAGCACACCACCATGTTGCTCAACCTGATGCTCTCTCTAGGTTTTACATTACCAGCTCCACTGGCCACGCTGGGGGATGATGGGAGTTGTGGTTTGACATATCTGAAGAACATGGCATACAGCAAAGTATACAAGGAACACAGGTGATGGAAGTCGCCTTTACTGAGCCATATCCCAGTTGCCACTGGGAAATTAACATCATGGCAGCATTAAAATGGCACAGAGCAGGGGCCACACGGAAGACACCACTTTTCAGCTCTGTGCCATTTTAATGCTGCCATGATGTTAATTTCCCAGTGGCAACTGGGATATGGCTCAGTAAAGACGCCTTCCATCACCTGTGTTCCTTGGCATTTCTGTTGGTCCTTCTAAGAATCCCGGCAGAGCTGGCTGGATAGCTCAGTAGTTTAGGCCTCTTGTCTGCGGAGCCAGAGGTTGGGAGTTCGATTCTCCGCTGTGCCTCCTGTGAAGCAGAGCCCGGTCGAGTGGCCCTGGGCAAGCGGCATAGTCCCAGGGCATCCCATGAAGAAGGCAAACCATTTCAGAGTATTTTTATTTATTTATTTCATTTGCTTTATACACTACCCCATTAGTGCAAATGCACTATTCTGGCCAGTTCAGAACAAGTAAAACAGACAAGCAGCAGTAAATGTGTTTAAAAAAGGGATAAAACCATCAAAACCACTAAAACAGACAAGCAGCAGTAAATGTGTTTTAAAAAGGGATAAAACCATCATGGTACAGGGCACTTGATAAGAGCAAAAGCAGAGGCGTTATCATCAGGCAGGGTCCTTATGGAAGGCCTCCCTGAAAAGACGTGTTTTAAGTTGCCTTCTAAACGTCAGCAGGGAGGGAGGCATGCACAGACTCCACTTGCATGTTGGTGCCACAGAATTGGTGCTGCAGCTAAGAAGGCCCGACCTCTTGTGGATGACGTCCAGGCCTCCCTCACCGTGGCAACATAAGAGGAGCACAGCCTGGGGGGATCTCATGGGTCAGGAAGATGACACTGGAGAGAGACGCCCCAACAAGGAGCTTTGTCCCAAACAGTGGAGGGCTTTACACACATTCTCTACGTGGAAAATTCTGAAAAGCATCACCCAAAAATCAGAACTGACTTGATGACACATGACAACGATATCACGACACTAGGCCAACTGAAGGAAGCACAGAAGGGAAGGCCACAGCTTTCATGCTCTCTCAATCTGATCCTCAAGCAGGATGTGACAAAGCAAAACAGTAAGACTATAGGAAGGGAAAGGGTGTGGGGCTTGGAGGTTGAAGTTCCAGAGTTGGCCTGTTGATGTGAAACACAAGGAGCGGTCTTTAAACTCTAGGGTGGGGCTGATCAGGTGATGTGGTCATGCTGGAACGGCACCTATTCAAATAATACCAGTCAATTGCTTAGTGCAAAATTAAAACACAGGACTCTGCCTTCTGGTGCATCAGACCATTGGTCCCTCTAACCCTTCACTATAGATTCTGACTCAGTTTGAAAGTAACAATAACTTTAGCTCCAGTCAAGCGTTATTCCCAAAACTCTGTACAGGTCAGAAAGTGAGCAGGGCAGCGATGTGGGACAGATGTAAGTCTGAACCTTCTGTCCGCTCTGCTTTAGGGCTGATACTGGGCTCCTCTCTCTGCAAAGCCAACGCTTGAATGCAGAGAGATAAGGTGCTATGGGGGTCAGAGTGCACCCTTAACACACCCAGTCCTCAAACACCCCCCCCCCATGGGCTGCAATAGCACACCCTGTGATGATGATGGAGAAGAGATGAGAAGAATCTAGGGAGCTCTCTATTGGTAGAAAACCAATAAAGGATTCACGGTGTCTCCTGTGCTTACCACTTCAAAGGTTTTGCTATGTTCCCTCTGAACATTTTGTACAGACATCCTTGTTTGTATGGGACCTGGGCTTTTTTTGTTGAGTGTGCATGTGTTTCAAAAAAAAATGCATTCCAGGGCACAGGAGCCAGTACTGTTGTGTTTATGTGGCAGGGCCACTGACCCAGCCCTGGGAGTTGCCCACAGGCAAAGATCAAAGGGAGAGGGGTAAGTTCAGGTTCCCTTCCGTAATCCAACCCGACCATGGAGGTCATTTTCCCCAATTCCTGCGTAACAAGTTGTTAATCTTCAATCCTGGGTGTTTTCAGAAGATTGATCTTTTCACTAGAGGAACAGTGACCACAGGCCTTCCCACCCCCCACAACTCTGTGCAACATGCCAAAAAAACAGCACATGACTGGCAGCAAGACCTAAGAAGACCTCTCCCAGATTGTTTGCTGATGTCCACGTTCCCATTGCATCACTGGGCATGGAAGTGCAAAGGGTAGAGATAGGAAGAGGCCCTTTTAGCAGCTTTCCCTGCAGACACCCCACCTGCCCGCCCACCTACCCGCCCCCCAGGCCAAAGGCAACACTTAAGAGCTTGTCCTAGCCACTCACCCGTGCACCATACCATTATCTCAAACAGCAGGGATGGAGTGTGTGCTAGCTGTAATTCCCAGTACCCTTTGCCGTGCTAGGTGGGATTGATGGGCACTGCAGTCCGACATCTGTAGAGCGACACATGTCCCATCCCGGGAAGAGGAAAGCAGCAGGAGCCAACACAGCTGTTTTTCTCATCGGGGGGCCTCCCCGAAGAGCAAGGACTCTTGGGCGTCCCCAGGGCCATTGGCGGGCTGCCAGCCCTCCCCTTCCTGAAGCGTTACACTGGAATCACGCCGAACTCACCCACATCATGGATGCCGACCCCCTTAGACAAAGGTTGAAGGTCAAGGAAACGTTTCTGTGCACATCTCAAGCTCTGATCGCTTCTCGGGAAAACTGGTTTGTCTTGACATTTGCAATGTTTTTTGATTTTGCCTCCATTCCATGTGTCTCCATGATTTTGAACTGTGCAACACTCCGATACAAATAAAAGGAAGGAAGATTGGTGCCCATCAAGGAAGAGACTCTTTGTAGATACAGACTGTGTGGTGCAGTGAAGACAGTGTCAGTCTAGGACTCAAGAGACATGAGTTCAAGTTCTCACTCAGCCAGGAAAAATCAAGGGGAGCAGTGGGGGTTGAGCTGGTAAAGTATCTCACATACCTTGGAAACCTTATGAATTGACTTGGCGGCAGATCACATGAGCACACAGCGCCCCCTGCTGGAGCCTTCCTTCTCTTCTACCCCAAAAAACTGGAAAAGTGGCCACCAGCTTGTTCAGGGGCATGCCACCCCCTCTTCAGCTCCATCAAAGGCGTACAGAGCCTCCCTTTTTGACCCTCTGGCCATTCAGTTTCGCTTTGAAGAGGTCCCCAGCTGGGCTGAGGTAGAGCAGCCTGTGCAAACTAGACCCAGCCATCTAGTTACCGTTTGCCCTGTCCATCCATCACCACAGCCCCAAAGCTACCCAAAAAGAACCTGTAATAAGCCACTGCCCGGGGAAATCAGCTCTCCTTAAGACAGGCCTCGTTCGGACAGAACTGCCTTGACTTTCTCCACGATGGTCGATACTTCTGCCATGGCACCACGACCTGCGCAAGCAGAAGACGAACGGGTTATGGGTCAACTCTCCCCAAGAGAAAAGGAGCTGTGGGGAGGAGGGGACTGAGAGATCTTAGGGCATCTGGAAGACCAACACATTTTATCCAGCCTAAGGTTTTGGAGATCACAGGCTAGCCATCACTGGATGCAGCAATAGGCATCGTCCGTGCACCAAGTGAAATGGGCTGCGGTGCACAAAATAAGAACCATCACGTGCTGTCAAGTTGATTCTGACTTTGGGCGATCCTTTTTCAGGGTTTTCCAGGTAGAAAAATACTCAGAGGTGGTTTATTACAGTGGTGCCTCACTTAGCGACATTAATCCGTGCAGCAAAAATCGTTGCTAAGCGATTTCGTCGCTAAGCGATATTAAAAAGCCCATAGAAATGCATTGAAACCCCTTCAATGCATTCCTATGGGCTTAAAACTAACCTTTAAGCGAAGATCCTCCATAATGCCACCATTTTCGGTGCCTCTAAAGCGAGGAATCCGTCCCTGAAAACAGCAGGTGGCCATTTTGTTTACCCGGCAGCCATTTTGAAACCGCCGATCAGCTGTTAAAAAATCATCGCTTTGCGATGATCGGTAAGCGAAACAGGGAACCAATCACCACAAAGCGAAATTCCCCCATAGGGAACATTGCAAAGCAATCGCTTTTGCGATCGCAAAAAGTTTGTTGCTATGCGGTTTCGTTGCTAAACGGAGCGCCCGTTAAGCAAGGCACCACTATATTCCCTCCTTCTCGGGATGCCCTGGGACTGTGCAGCTCGCTCAAGGCTACACAGGCTGGCTCTTCTCTCCAGTATGCACAGTAGAGAATCGAACTCCCAAGTTCTCAGCCAGAGAGCTAATCCAATAAGCTATCTAGCCAGCTATTCAGCGCACAACGGCTCATGCAAAATGAAATTGGCTGCTCTCCCCTCTTATCCTGATGACAAACAGCTACTTGGCTTTGAGCATGCTATCCCTGTGCCAGTTGTCAATGACAAGGGCACACAAGGTCACAGGCAGGCGTTTCCTGCTAGATAATTTTTATTGTGATATGCCTCATACTGCAAAATGCCATCTGAATTTATTGGGCAAACCTGACAGCTTTGGCTCATGAATAAAAATAATTGCCCCTCCTCAGGTCTCTGTGCACATAAGAGATGGGGAGTCTTTGGCCATCCAGATGTTTTGGATTTCATCTGCAAGAAGTCCCCCCCCCCAGTGGTTTAAAAGCAAGAGGTCATGGAAGGTGCAGTCCAAAACATGAAAAGAGACACATGAGTCTGTCTCAGTATGCTGGCAAAATTAAAGGAGAAAAGGAGATAAGCAAAGTATTGTGGCATTTTAAAGACTAATAGATTTATTTCAGCCTTAGCCTTCATGGATCAAAATCCACTTCTTCAAACCTGTGTCTGAAATAAATTTGTCAGTCTTTAACAGCAACAACAACTGTGTGCCAATCAAGTTAACTCTCCCTTAAGGAGACCCTTGCCAGGGTTTTCCAGGAAGAGAATACACAGGACTGGTTTACTTTTCCCTTCTTCTGGGACCGAGCAGCTGGCCCAAGGCCCCCCCAGGCTGGCTTTTTTCTTGGGAGGCACAAGGTCCAACTCCCAACCTTTGGCTCTGCAGTCAGATACCCTTAAAGTGCCTCAATAGTTTGCTTTTCTGTTTTTCTCTCCCTCCCATTTTTATTTTTGCCAACATGGGAAGTCAAAGGCTCCTCCACCCCACAGCATATTATTGCTCAGCCATTAGCTCCTGCCTGTTCTGGTTGGATTCCATGCTATTTTGTGTGTCTCCCTTTGCTCTCCATGTACTAACCGGTCACAATGCTGGTCATCTTTCTAAAGGCATCCTGCTCCCACTTCATCTCCCTGACCTTCAGGTATAGTCACACCCACTTACCAAATCTGCAATGCATCACACAGAGGGAGCTCTCCAGCTGAGAAACACTTACAATTCTAACAGCATTTCAGTGGTTTTGAGACCCTCTGTTCTAAAACTTGGGAATCTGAATTTTGGAATCCTAAAACTGGCTAGCTACTCACCTTCATCGCCACAAACCAGCTTCTTTACGATACAAGGAATCTCCACATAGCCAAAGCTCTTGAGCTGCTCCACCTGCTGAGCCGTGATGGGGTGCTCCCACATGGCAGTGTTCATGGCAGGGCAGAAAAGGAGCGGCTTACTCAGATCCCATGCACGGATGACACAGGTCTGCAAAAGATGGCAAACAACTGGGATGTCTGGCCTGACACACTGGCAGCAGGTGCTTCCCTCATGCCCTCTCCCTTCCCTCTCATAAGCTAGAAACATGAAAGACCACCGCAGGCATTGAACCTCCTGAGGGTATCATGGCCAAGGCCAGGGAAGATGGCACATGCCCAGCTTAAAAAGGCAGAGGGGGTTAAAACAGGAGGCTAATTATAAAATCATTCAACACACGAGAGTCTGAAATCTTGTTCCAGCAGGAGTCTGGAGGCAAAGGTAAAGGTAAAAGTTCCCCTTGACAGTTTTTGTCCAGTCGTGTTCAACTCTAGGGGGCAGTGCTCATCCCCGTTTCCAAGCCATACAGCCAGCGTTTTGTCCGAAGACAATCTTCCGTGGTCACATGGCCAGTGCGACTTAGACACGGAACGCTGCTACCTTCCCACCGAGGTGGTCCCTATTGATCTACTCGCATTTTTACATGCTTTCGAACCGCTAGGTTGGCGGGAGCTGGGACAAGCGACGGGCGCTCACTCCGTCGTGTGGATTCGATCTTACGACTGCTTGGTCTTCAGACCCTGCAGCACAGGCTTCTGCGGTTTAGCCCACAGCGCCACCATGTCCCTGTAGTCTGGAGGTAGCCTAAGCGTAAATAGTATTACAGCCAGGTCGGAATCTCAAGCTCCGCCTCTTTGGAGGAAACTTAAATATGAAAATAAAATAACCAATTCTAGTAGCCATGGGATTCGAAGGAAGCAGAGGCTTGACAGGGAAAACGTTGCAATGGAACAGCAGATTAAGTGAGCACTAGTGTTATTTTGATCTGCACACTGCATCGAGCGAAGCTACCACAACTTACCAGTAAGTTGTCACAGAGGCCGTTGGCAATTTTGGCCAAAGTGTTTGCATCCAGAGGGGCCACCAGCATGAGATCAGCCCAGCGCCTCAAGTCAATGTGTAGCACAGGATCTGTGCGCCCTTTCCACAGCTGTGAACGAGAGACCCCCTTAAAAGTTAATGAAATCTCCTGGTATGCTTGAAGATGGTATATGGAAGGTCATTTACAAGCACAAAATCAGCAGCACCCTCTCCAGCAGATGACAACAAGGCTGCATACAACAATATCCAGAGTATCGGGAAAATGCCATACTGGGGAGAAGAAGAAATCCCACCCACAGCAAAGAAAGAAATAAGATTCTATTAGGTTTATCTTCAGAAAATTGATACAGAGCAAAATGACAATAGTCTCAATATAAACAAGACAAAGGTATAATAGGCAGGGCAGTCCACTATCTCTCCCCAAATCATCAATATTACAAAGGCAAATTCTGTTACATGAGAAACGTAAGAGTCATTCTCTGGAGCTTTGTTGTTCAGTCGTTAAGTCATGTCCAACTCTTTGTGTCCCCATGGACCAGAGCATGCCAGGCCCTCTTGTCTTCCACTCCCTCCCGGAGTTGGGTCAAATTCATGCTGTCCAGCCATCTCGTCCTCTTCATCCCCTTCTCCTCTTGCCTTCACACTTTCCCAACATCAGGGTTTTTTCCAGGGAGTCTTCTCATGAGATGGTCAAAGTATTGGAGCCTCAGGGTTGAGTTCCTTCAGAATGGATAGGTTTGTTCTCCTTGCAGTCCAGGGGACTCTCAAGAGTCTCCTCCAGCACCATAATTCAAAAGCATCAATTCTTCAGCGGACAGCCTTCTTTATGGTCCAGCTCTCACTTCCATACATCGCTACTGGAAAAACCATAGCTTTGACTATGTAGATCTTTGTCAGCAAGGTGATATCTCTGCTTTTTAAGATGCCGTCTAGGTTTCTCATCGCTTTCCTTTCAAGAAGCAGGCATCTTTTAATTTTGTGGCTGCTGTCACCATCTGCAGTGATCATGGAGCCCAAAAAAGTAAAATCTGCCACTGCCTCCATATCTTCTCCATCTATTTGCCAGGAGGTGATAGGACCAGTGGCCATGATCTTAGGTTGTTTTTTTTTTTTATGTTGAGCTTCAGACCATTTTTTGTGCTCTCCCATTTCACCCTGATTTACTGCTGTCCCCATCTGCAGTGATCATGGAGCCCAAAAAAGTAAAATCTGCCACTGCCTCCATATCTTCTCCATCTATTTGCCAGGAGGTGATAGGACCAGTGGCCATGATCTTAGGTTGT